CCCGTTACCCCCTCACCGTATCCCTGGCCGCGGTTGCGGTTCTGCCGGTTGCGCTTGTTGCGGTTGTTGCGCCGGTTCGCCCGTTTCTCGGAGGGCGGGAGCAGCTTCCGGGCCTCTTCCTTGTACCGGGACACCAACGGCTGCGCCTCCTCCTTGCCCAGCTCCCCGTAAACCACCTCATCCAGGTAATCGTTCTTTTCCGGCAGGGAATAATTCGCTGCACCGGGAACGACGGGAACGATTCCCTCCGTCAGCCGCCGCTTCCCGGCGTTTCACCCCCGGCCCCCAAAATGGCGGGAAAGCTCCAGGTTTTCCTCCTCCCCCCACCCCCCCCTTGTTTCCCGCCCATCCCACCTTTCATTTCCAGCATCACCGACTCGGGAACGTCCTCCCCTTCCGCCTCCTTCCGCAGCTCCAGCCGCTTTTTCCAGTCCTCCTCCGTCGGGACGATCACCACGACTTTCCTGGAGAAGCCCTTGAAGGCCAAGAGCTTCCGGCGCTGCCCCGAGTTGTACACGTTGCACTGGGAAGGGAGAAGGGCGGGAATTTGGGATGGGGAGCGCCGGGATGGAGGAGGCGATCCCGAATTCCCAGAGGGGGGGTGGGGGGAGGTTTTCCCGGGATACCTGGTCGAGGATGAAGTTCCGCTTGGAGCGGGGAGCGATCTGGACCAGCTTGCTAAGGCACTGGGCTGCCTGCTGAGTCAGCAGGTCTCTGCTCTTGGCATCCAGCTCTTCCACGTCCGGACCCCTCGTCTGGAAAACCGTCGGAAAAGCGGGAATGAGCGGGAGGAGCCTCCGTGCCCTCAAACCGCCCCAAAAATCCCCCCTAAACCTCCCTCAAAGTCCCCCCAAACTGCCCCCAAATCCCGCTTAACCTCCCTCAGTGACTCCTGCATTCCCAATTCCCCCCTCAAATTCCTCAAATCCCCTCTAAACTTCCCCTCAAACCCCCCCCCCCCCAATCCCTGCTTCCCCTCCCAACTCCAGGGAACATCGTCGGCATTCCCGGAATTCCCGGTGCTCACCCGCAGCTGGTGCAGGACGGCCTCTGTTCCCAGGATGTTGTAGCGCTTCTCCCGGTTTTCCTGGGAATGTTTCTGAGCCCACTGGGTCTTCCCAGAGCCCGGCAGCCCCACCATGAGCAGCACCTGGATACGGGGGAGGAGGAAAAGCGGGATCAGGTGGGAAGAGGGGAATGGTGACGGCATTCCCAGGGGATCCCGGGGGAGTGGATTCCCAGTGGATCCAGGGGGAGCAGCACCAGCATTCCCAGAGGATCCAGGGAGATGGAGCGATGCTCAAATTCCACTCCCAGCAGATCCCAAGGGATGGGAGCGGTGCTGGTATTCCCGGGGGATCAGCACTGGGATTCCCAAATCTGAGAGGAGGGAATGGCTCCGGCATTCCCAGGGGCTCCAGAGGGAGCAGAGCCAGCATTCCCAGTGGATCCAGAGCCAGCATTCCCAGCACCTCCAGAAGGAGGAGAACCACTATTCCCAGCAGCTCCAGAGGGAGCAGAGCCACCATTCCCAGTAGATCCAGAGCCACTATTCCCAGCTGCTCCAGAAGGAACAGAGTCAGCATTCCCAGTGGCTCCAGAAGAAGCAAAATCAGCATTCCCAGATGAACACTAAGATTCCCAGCGGCTCCAGAGGGAGTAGAGCCACCATTCCCAGTGGATCCAGAGCCACCGTTCCCAGTGGATCCAGAACCACCATTCCCAGTGGATCTAGAGCCACAATTTCCAGTGGATCCAGAGCCACAATTCCCAGTGGATCTAGAGCCACAATTCCCAGTGGATCTAGAGCCACAATTCCCAGTGGATCCAGAGTCATCATTCCCAGTGGCTCCAGAGGGAACAGAGCCAGCATTCCCAGTGGATCCAGAGTCATCATTCCCAGTGGATCCAGAACCACCATTCCCAGTGGATCCAGAGCCACCATTCCCAGTGGATCTAGAGCCACCATTCCCAGTGGATCTAGAGCCACAATTCCCAGTGGATCCAGAACCACCATTCCCAGTGGATCCAGAGCCAGCATTCCCAGTGGATCCAGTGTCATCATTCCCAGTGGCTCCAGAGGGAACAGAGCCAGCATTCCCAGTGGATCCAGAGCCAGCATTCCCAGGAGCGCCGGGGGGATCAGCGGCCGGCCTGGCGATTCCCAGGAGCCGCCCGCTCAGCATTCCCGGCGCATTCCCGGCGCCATTCCCGGCGCATTCCCGGCGCTCACCTCGCACTCCTCGGTGCTGCGGGGGGGCAGGGGGGTGCGGACGCGCTCCTGGGCGGGCAGGGCGTGGATGAAGACGAATCCCTCGGGAACGGCTCCGAAGGGCTCCTCGCGTTGGCCGAAGTTGAGCTCGACGGCGCAGCCCTTGCAGAGCACGTGGGGCAGCAGCGCCCGCTCCGCCAGGGAATCCTTGGCAACGCGGAAGGCCGGGCCCAGCCCCTGCCCGTTCTTGGAGAACGACAGCTCCACCACCTCCTCGGAGCCCTCGAAATCCTGGCAAAGCCAAAAAATCCCGCTTTCGCCCCCGGCTCCCGAAAAATCAACCACCCCCACCCCTCCCAGGAGCAGCTTTGCTGGGTTGTTCCCTCATTTTTCCCAAATTTCCCGCCAGTTTTTCTGGATCTGCCCCCCCCACACTTCTTTTTTTTCCAGGTGTTTTCCCTTCTTTTTCCAAATTTTTCCTGTTTTTTCCATGATTTCTCCCTGTTTTTCTGAATTGTTCCCCTTGATTTTTCCAAACTGTTCCTGTTTCTTCCATGATTTCTCCATGTTTTTCTGGATCTGCCCCCC